TTTAAGTTCTTCAACACTCTAAAACCCCCCTTGTTACTAGTTACATAAAAGTTAAATATTCATTTCCCTGTGGATACGAACCTTACTTCATTATACTACGTATAATTGTTGTATTGATTTATTTATTTTGACACACATAACGACAAAGTGCACGTCACAGTACAACGGAGGCTTTAGCGATTCGTGAGGCGGTGATTTGGGCGCGCCAAGCAGGCTGGTCAAATGTGATTGTCGAATCTGATGCACTCTCAGTGGTCCAGGGGATTGCATCTTACGATGGTATTTCTTACGAGGATAGTATTTTTGCTGAGATTAGACATATGATAACTACTTTTGCTAGTTTAAATGTCCACTATGTGAAGCGATCAGCGAATCGAGTTGCTCATGCCTTGGCATAGCAGGCCGGTTCGGAGTCTGATTGTCTGTGGTGGGAACTCCACAGGATTGTATTGCGAACATGCTTTGTTTTGATGGCTAATGATTACGTTATTTGGTTTTCAAAAAAATAAAAGCATTAGTGTGGATATGGCCGGATTTTGTACAACCATCAACCGTTCAAAGTTTATGTCTGAATATAATACTTTCTCTGTCCCGTTTTACTTGTCTTATTTTCCTTTTTGGGTTGTCCCAAAATAAGTGTCACATTTTCCTTTTTGGAAAAAAAATATGTGGTCCATAATATTTCACTTTGTTATACTCAAATCTCAACTACAATTTTTACCTTTTCCATCACTGTTTTTTTTTACTCTAGACGCCCCTGGAGTAAAAAAACTACTTTATTAATAATTGTATCAAACTGACGCATAAAATGAGATGGTTGTAGTACTTGTTATCTAACTAATCACTTGTGTCGTAACGTAGTACTCACTCTCCATAAATTCCAACAAATTATTCTGAAGGCAAAATTTATAATATAAATAATTTAAAGTATTGCAATTGAATAATTTAAATATAAATGATAAAATAATGACCTAAATAATCAATCAAATATCACATCTCATGTATTTATGGCTACGGTAGCAATCACGTATTTTTGAATCGCCATCCATGCTTGGATTGGGAAAAGTCTGAGCATCTACAAGTGAAGTAACCATTGCCACATCATTCAACCCTGTTTACACAAATAAATACGTAGTACGTAGTAGCATTTGCAATAAATCCGCTCAAAGTCCCACTTATCAACGCTCTTCAATTAAATTTAATGAGCTTCAGATCCTAGCTAAAGCAACTCAGATCGCTTTATTGTACGAACTTCTTTGCCTATATTGGGACATCACACCTTCATGTGTTAAGAATTCCAATCTATATTAAATCAGAAAGTGGAATTGTGCGGATGTATGTCAATTTATTTATTTAGTTTAACTTGTAACAAAAAATCCGGTCAGTTGGGAGGGAAGTTAGTCAGTTACCTCACAATAGGAGATAAAAGAATTCTCTATACATTATATCTTACTTGTACAAGGGTGTAATATAAGAGTGTATAGTGTAACTAAAATTTCAATATTAAAAGAGGACAACAAAAATCCTCGAAAAGAAATTGTATTATCTTTGATCTTGTAATGTGTGATTATTTTCAAAAGAGAGGTGAAAAGCAAAAGGGAATTTGATTAGCTAGGGTGCTAATAGAGCAAGTCATTTTGCAAGTTACATGAGATTTATTCAGTTTTTACTCGAGCCTAGATGCTAGGTAGCTCAACGCGATTCAATCTTAACTCGAACCACAACCAAATTTGGTGAAGTTTTATACAAACTTGACACGAAAAGCTCGTAAGATACTCGATAGGACTAACACAGTTTGATAATTCCAAAATAGAACTGACATGTTTTAAATTCCCAAAATATGAGTAATTACTGTCAAGTTTGGAAAGTACTGTCATGTTTGAAGTCTGGAACTGCCAAAACATGACAATAATTAGTCCTATTTTGGGAATAAAAAACATGACAGTCCTATTTTGGGATTTTCAAACCTTTTTAGTTCTATTTCGAGTAATATCTCTAGTTAATATTGATTTTTTTGAATGGATAGATATGAGCACTACACTGTATCCATAGTTGAATCGGGATCGGATCTATAGATAATAAATATACATAAATATCTTCTGCTAAAAATACACTAGAAACTCACATGTCACTGAATATGTTAGACAATGTTAAGCAGCATTAATCAAACTTAGTTTATCTTAAGTTTGAATAAATCATATGCGGAAAAGAGAGACTTCATGAGACAACTAGGCAAGAATTTTAGAACATTGGTTGGATGTTTAAAAATTTATTTACAGTAAAACATGTTTGTGTAAACGTGATAACAAATCAAATTGTTTATGAAAAACATACGGAGTATCACTTCTAGAAAAGATGAAACTTTGATCAAAACTCGAACTCTAGTGAAGTTATGTATGTAGTATATTTCCGTATGAGTAGAACTCGTTTTTTTTTCACCAACCACGATTCGATTTAATCTGAACTCAAGCTCGACTAGTTGATTAACACCCTAAATTTGAGTAATGGCGATCAACATATGATATACTGATTTGCTCTGCGATTGCCATAAGTGCGCATTGAACTTAATACGTTAAGTTTTTGTCCGACGTTTTTATTGTTCTATGGAACACTATGAAGCACGGATACTTCCCTAGGGTAGCGTATCGGCATATCCGATACGTTCCCGTATCCGATACTCTATGATACCCGTACCGTACGTTCCCGGGTCGTATCTGCAATTTTTAAAAGTTTCCATTTTTTTTGTAATTTTTTGAAAGTTTCTGATACTTGTATCCTGACGGATACCCGTATCAACTTTTTAAAAAAAAATCCCAAAATTTACTTAATAAAATTCTAAAAAAAAATGAAAATCTAAAACTACATTTTACTTGGTAATCAAATAATGGGCCTATATGGCTATATCCGAATTAAGTCATTAACTCATACTCCGAATTGGGTACTTGCACTTTTAATTTCAAGATTGTAGTTGTTTGACTTATTTCTTATTTTAAATTAATGACTTATTGACTACATTTATATTTCGAGATGCACTAGTGTATATGAGAAATATATTATGAATTTATTACTAAGTATATATCTTGAAAAAAGAAAATGCTTCAATGCAATGAATAGGTAGACATCATAGGATATTATATGTATATATATTTTTTCAAAAAAAAAACTATTTTTAAAATTTATAAATAGACCCCTATAACTTTTAATATTTGTAGATACACCCCCATAACTTTTAATATTTATAAATATGGCCCCGTATCCGTATCCTACTTTTTTTGGTTTTGACGTATCCCCGTACCCGTTTCCGCGTTTCCGCGTTTCCGCGTACCGGTATCGGTGCTACATAGGTGGAACATTATATTATATGGACATTACGGAGTAGTAAAATACTATATTGAAACCGGAACCCGCACGGGTAGCTTAACTGGTAAAATGGTTGGAAAGTTGAACAAATGACCAAGAATCGAAACCGACAGCGATCATGTGAAGGTCACAACTCTTATATGGTGGATTGGGTCTGTGATGTGCACGGTATAATGCCAACCACCATTAGGATTAGTTGAGTCATCGTTATTTACAACATCTAACATGCTCTGTCGGCCGGGACGTATGAGACCCTTGGAGTTGGGGGGTCAAACTTTTGGAAAAACCAAAAGGGATAAGGACCAAAAATGACACTATGGTTTCTAATGAATCTCGGATAGGACACTGGGTTTAAAGTGGACCAAAAAACACAAATTAAACCTTTTCACTTTACTTTTAAGGGAAAATGTAAACTAATAATCCAACCTTTTAGCGGTCTTCTTTTAATAGTCCCACCTTTTCGTTATTCATGAATAATTCAACTTTTGCACCTCATCTTCATTCACTGGTCCTTGACCGGTTGATGACATGCTATTCCGAGTTATTTTCTTATATTTGTAAAATATTATCTTTGTGAAAGGTAGAATTTATGGTATAATAGTTTGCAAAGATAAGAAAATAACTCGGAATAGCAGGTCATCTACCGGTCAGGGACCAATGAATGAAGATGAGGTGCAAAGGTTGGATTATTCATGAATAACGCAAAGGTCGGACTATTAAAAGAAGACCGCTAAAAGGTTGGATTATTAGTTTCCGTTTTCCCTACTTTTAACCACCCTCTAACTCTCCCATTCCACTGCCGTTTCCCCTAGACTAAAATGCCCTTTTCGTTTCCCTGCGTTTAAGCTCAGAACCCCCAATTTGCAACTCTAAGTAAGAAGACATGAAGACTTGATAGAGAGCAGAGCTAAGGCGAAGAGGGGAGGGACAACCCAGATAGTCATGGATTTCTCGAGATACTTCCAAGCTCTAGGAACGTTATTGGACCAGCAAATGTGAGAGACGAGAATGGTGGCGAAGCCGGTGGAGGGAATGGGGACGCCGGCGGCGTTGAGAGTGGAGGATATCTACAGGGCGTACACCAAGGAGTCGATCTCCCTGTCCTGAGCCAATTTAGTGAGCTCCAACACCGTGTCCAACGGGCTGGCCATGGTTCAACTCCATTGCTCTCTGAGTTGGGCTATCATGGCAGGTAAATGGCAAAGCTTTCATGCGACTTGGTTGAAAGCCAAATTGTATGGCTTCGTGGAGAAGGGCCACATTGTAAATGGCAAGTAAACGGTAATTTGTATATACGCAACCTAAAAATTCTTTTTCTTTCCATCCTGAATAGGCCGTCTCAAAATTCGTTCCACACTGGATTGAATCAATGGAGGATGACTTCAGTATGGCTGCAGAGCTTGATGGTGAAGAGTTAGGGGGATTGGAGCTGGACTTTTATGCACAGTGTTGTTAGGCGGAATGGGGGAAATGGGCCTTTAACGGGAGAGTAAAAGGGTGGTTAAAAGTAAAGGAGAAGATTTTAATTTGTATTTTTTGATTCACTTTAAACCTCAGTGTCATATATAAGATTCATTAAAAATCATAGTATCATTTTTGGACTTTCTCCCAAACTAAAATGAGAACGGGAGTACCATAAACTTAATTGGGACGCACGCGCATTAGAAGAATGGTATTTCAGGGGTACAGCTAAAAGCCAAAAACACGGGAATGACGCTGAGTATTTGTTTTTCTTTGTGTACCTAATACGGAGTAATGACCATTAACATGTAAACCAACAACAGCACTTTGTTTATGTGTGGTATGAAAATATTAAAATCGCAAAAAAAAAAAAAATTATGAACCCACCTACGGAATACTATACTTCTACTACACATATAAAGTAGGCGAGGGTAAAAACCAACAACCATTACAGTTTTCTCATCTATGCAGAATGTCGCAATCGCCGATGCGGTCAAATGTCAACGTTTGGCCGCTAACTGTATTCATCAATGTCCAATTAATGGTGGCAGTTGAACCTTCCGAAATCCGCAAGTTTCCTCGATCTGCTCTTGCACAACGACGTCGCACCGGGCAAACTCGCTTTGGAGGATAATCTAATTTCGCCGGAGTACACCATCTCCGGCGCCATTCCCTTTTGGTTCCACTGCAGGTTAGGGCTGGCTCTCACCAACGGACTCAGGCAAAACGTCATCCCGGAGGCGTTCCGGTTGCGGTTGCATCTTCCGCTTCCTCTCCGGTTTGATGAAGACGCCGGAGTCCGCCTTGGTGTCTGCTTCCACCCCTGCGAAGACTCCGAAGAGTACCCGCTGGATCCCCCGCGGCAATGTTGGTCTTCCTCGTCGTCGGAGCACCTCACGGGGGACAATCCGCGATCTCTATTCTGACAGTTCACCCGCCGCCGCCCGACGGAGGCGTCCTCATTTACCGAAAACGCCTGATTTTGCTTCTTCCGACGACCCGAGAAAATTGCCGAAAACCAAGACGACGACGACGTACTGGCACGCGGGGGTTCCGAATTCGAGACCCCCGGATCCGAATTGGGGAACCTGGGATCCGAGTACGAATCGGGCTTCCCCGGTTTAGATCCGAACAGATTGTTAAACAGAGAGAACCCGTAACTCTTCTTCTTCTTCTTCTTACCGTAATCCCCCCCGGCGATTACTTTCCCTTGGGCTCCGACTTGAGGAGTGCTGAAGAATCTCTGATCAGCCCAGCTGCGGTGGCTAGCTTGGCGGTTTTGATTCCAATTCGAGATGTCAGATTTATGGCGAGAAATATAGGGCGAAACAGAGCGGGGAAACAACAAAGCCGGCGGCGGCTGATTGGCGTCGGACTTGCGCCCCTCTTCCTGAAATCCACGGTGCTGAATGCGGGCTTCGGCTTGAGCCTGAGCCTGAGCTAGTATCACGGCGAAGAGCTTCTCCCGGAGACAAGACGCGCAAACGCCGACGCCGCTGCTCAGGTCCGACTGATGTTTCTTACACCTCATCTAGTTGATTCCGATCCCTTTATATATATGTCCGCCGGAGTCAGTGTACGGTCGCGAGTTCCGGCATGTCCGGAGTGAAGAGAAGCGAAATGCGTTGGTTTGTCTTCTTCCCTTTCTGGAGAGAGAAACAGCAATTAGGTATAGAGAGAAATTGAAGAGAGGGGACAAGGTGGGGAGTGGGTGCAGTGACTCTTTTATTTTTGGCAGATTATTACACAGCAGGATTACTTATATTTCTCCCATTTTTATTTGAATTTAAATTTGCACGGAATTTTTATTCATTTATTTTGACTTCGTATTTGGTTTTAGAGAAAACAAAGAGAAAAACTTGACGCACATGAATGTTGTGAATGACGTGGCACATCGGTAGAGGTTGTTAATGATTTTTAACATATTCGATTTTTTTTTTATAAAGAAAACATATTCGAATTTTACTTTGGCGGAAAGTTGATAAGTGGAACTGTGGAAGAGTAACAGCTATAACCACAACTTAACTAGATTACTGAATACCGTTCGAGTTTAAAACATTTGGCATCTCTAGAGATTTACTTTGTTAAACTTTTCTTTTGATTTGAATTTTTGGCATAAAGATCTAGTTATGAAGTTTATTTCACGATAGGTCATTCCACATTTTTACCTATGCGTTATACACGAGATTAAATAACTTTAGAAGTATAAGAGCAACTCCATTGGTGATACTCAAATAAGCAGTTTTTTTGTGCCACATCATTGCCACATATAAAATCATTAATGATATCAAATATTCTTAACTTGCTCTCAATCATGATCTTAGATTATTGTGATTTTTGTATAAAATGCATTAAAAAATTCTCTCTCCTAGAAATTAAACACATGTACGTATGAGTCATATGTGTATATATATTGATTAGTGACCAACGTATACTTACTCTTTTTTTTTGTATTTTCCTTATTCCAAACTTTATTTGATTTGTTCGGTTTTTCTTTTGTTCAAGTTTAATCACATATATTAATATATGCGTTTTATTAAGTATTTATAACATGTAATTATATTTTAATTATATGTGTTTATATTTTTATATATAAAAATTTTATTGTATGAAATTGTATTTAACACAATCAATCATTCAAATTTAATCATCTTTAAAAATGACATTTAAACAACAATGCTTAAATAAGACTAGAAAATAATGCTAATAAATCAATAATTTAATTGTTGTGGCCATAATGTGCCCAAATGTGCTCAACCAAATCATGTCGAAGTTGGTGATGTAATTGAGAATCCCTAATTTCGGAATTGAGACGAATGTACTCTTGAAATGCGGGGGGCGCACCGTGATTTATAATTAGTCTATCTGCATCATCTTCATCATCAAGTGCACCATTCTGATCGTCACACCAATTTGTCGCATTATCTCCTTCATCTTCAATAATCATGTTGTGCAAAATTATGCATGTGTACATAATATCACGCAAATTTACTCTATGCCAATAACGTCCAGGATATTTTATAATTGCCCAACGAGCCTGTAGTACTCCAAATGCTCGCTCCACGTCCTTTCTTGCAGCTTCTTGCATTTCTTTAAATTTTTTTCTTTTAAGATCTTGGGGGCATGAAAAACTTTTTACGAAGGTAGACCATTCTGGGTATATCCCATCGGTTAAATAATATCCTTTCGTATATGGTGTGCCGTTTACCGTAAAGTTAACTTCGGGAGCAACACCTTGCAGAATATTATTAAATAGTGGAGACTCATTGAGTACATTGACATCATTGCGTGACCCTGCTACTCCAAAAAACGCATGCCATATCCATAAATCTGCAGACGCAACAGCTTCAAGCATAATTGTTGGAACCCCGTGGTCACCTCGAGTAAATTGACCCTTCCAAACGACGGGGCAGTTCCGCCATTCCCAATGCATACAATCAAGACTAACTAGCATGCCAGGAAAACCATGCCTCCGTTCATGAATTTCAAGTAAATGTCTTATGTCATCTGCATTGGGCCTTCTCAAGTATTGATTACCGAAAAGTTTGATCACACATTGACAGAAATTCTTCAAACTTTCTATAGTAGTTGTTTCAGCCATTCTTATGTACTCATCCCAACTATCTGCGGGAGTTCCGTATGCCAGTTGACGGAGGGCAGCAGTGCATTTCTGTAGTGGTGACAACCCTTTCTTTCGGCATGCATCTTCCCTTTGCTGAAAATAAATGGAATAATTTTCAATTGCATGGACTATTTTGAGAAATAACGGCCTACGCATTCGAAAGCGTCGACGAAAATAGTTTGGAGAAAAAACGGGTTGTTCTGAAAAGTAATCATTATAAAGACGCAATTGGCCGCTTTGACGATCACGGTCGATGTAAGCTCTCTTTTTTCGTCTAGCTTTTGAGCTTTCACCACTTTCAATTTGCCTCTCCACCTCCTCAAGAACATTCAGTTTCAGTATAGTCAACGAATCATTAGCACTTTCTCGTAACCGGTTAATCCAGTACTTTCGTGCCATGCGTAGTTCAACAGAATTTGAATCTGTAGACATTTTTTATAATGAATATAAGTAGTGTTGTTGACAGATATATATGATACGTTGATGAAAGAATGAGCAGTTGTCCTTTCTTGTGTTGTGTGTATATATATACACATTAGTTTCTAACGGCTATTTTCTAACGTATTAGTTTCTAACGGCTAGTTTTTAACAACTAGTATGTGATATTCTTGTAAAGTATAACATTTCTTTTTCTATACAAATATATATAGAATAGTATTTATATACGGAGCATGATATAATTTAAAATAATATGCTACGTAGATCATATAGAATGACATGATCGACAAGATTAAAAATGTACCAGACAACTAATATTAGCAACTAGTTCCTAATTGCTACGTAGTAATTTTTAATATATATTTAAATTAAGTCATAATATATGTTTTATATTCTTTTTAATGTTTGAAAATATTTCATTATTAAGTACCGAGTATAATTTATAAATAATATAATTTCAAATAGTAGTAACTAATAATATTCCTAACGGCTAGTTTATGATATAATTCTAAACAAAAATATCTTTATTATTTATATATGTACAAATAGTTATGTATTATATATGAATAAACTAATATTAAATACTAACCGCAGAATGTATATAAAAATTACTAACGTCATAGTTTGACTTCATCTTTTTAAAGTTAATCATTTATAGAATACAAGTACATAGAATCACTATTAACAAGACATGCGACTTAAATAAAAGTGAAATATAATTTTTATTCAATAACATATGCATAAAATAACTAGTTCAAATCGTACATAATTCGAATTTGTTCACAAAGTTTCTCATGATCTTTCTTTTGTTGGTCGTTCATACCATTTGTATCTTTAAAAAGGAACTCAAGTCGCTTAAGTTTAAGTTCATCTTCCTTTTGCCTAATTATTTCAGCTTGTTGACGAAGCTTCTCTTGTTCATGTTCACGAATACCTACCCATATATCTCCCAAGTTATTTTGTGGGCAAGTAGTACTGTTGGTGCCTTCTGCATTAGTCTTTTCCCTCCGCTTGGCTGCCTTTTGTCCTATTGGACGTGCTCTACTTTCATTTGCGTCAATATCAATGCTTGCATCTCCATGACAAAATGACGTGTATGCACCAGATTCGTTATTTTTTGTCTTTTTTTGTGTGCGTTGAATGTCTTCTTGTCGAGCGAATCGGGGAGTGTCTTTCACAACTCTCCAGACATGATCATATCTAAAAGTCCTTTTTTCATCTGCGGCAAATTTGGCAATAGCACGAGCATATATATTTTCATCACTTTCCCCACTTTTTCTTTGATTCCACTCATTATTGAACTTAGCTCCAAACTTATTTGTCTCTTTCAACATTACATTATGGTGATTTTTCACTTGAGTTGTGCTTCTCTCTGCAGTTCCAGAAGGTCTATTTTCATTGTAGTAAATTCGGACACGATCCCAAAATGCAACCCTAGACTGATTATTCCCTATACAAGGATCTTCACTAATCATCTCCCATGCCTTTGCAAGAACAATCTCTTCAGATACTTCCCATTTCACATATGAATGCTTCTTCTTTGATGTATCAAGATCTGTTTCATGACACACTTCTATATCACCTTCAAGGTCTATATTATTTGTCCTTGTCTCTGTGGAGTGTAACGGAAACGGGCTCACTTTGATAGAACACGGCATTTTTGGGTCTTTCTGTGTGCAAGATGTAGCAATATTGTTTGACTCACTTGGTGAGACGTCTATAGGTGTTGACCGATGAGATAAGTGATTATGAGACATACCATGAGTTCCATATCTTGACCTATTTTCCGCTCCCGGAACATAATTTGGAGGTGTGGTCACATTGTTAGACCCGTTTGAAAAGGTACCGGAAACTTGAAAGTTTGGAAAATATTGTGGAAATGGAAACATAAAATTCGGAAGAGTTTGAGATGTTTGGGGTGATGATGATGATGGAGCCCCAAATAGAGAATTTTGAGAAGGTGCATGGTCGACATTCCCGGAAAAGTGTAGGGAATTCTTTGAAAAAGCACTACTATTTTTGTCCATTGTGACTTTGCTAGATGTAAATGAGATAGACAATAGTGTGTACATACATTCTTACAATCCAAAATCAAGAACATTTATATACTAAAATAACTCCAGAGTTTTGTAAGGACAATTGAATCTGGTAAAAAAAAAAAAAAACTAATTAAACTAAAAATCCCAAATTACCCCAAACCTTCACCTCTCTCTCTCGTATCCCTTTTTCCATCAGCCGTCTATGTGCGATAGTCTACCAACCTCAAGCCTTCGTCGTTCAAGCGCTGCCTCCGCCATATTCACGCTGCCGCGCCTTCCACAGCTCGTCATTCTTCTCATTCTTCTTTCTCCTTTTTCTTGGTCTCTTGATGTTGATGGACGGTGTTGGAAATCTTCGGATATGAAGACAACCAGGCAAGGCGAGCGATGGTGTTGAGTACATCGGTCATCGGTGAGATCGTGACTAGGGTTACGATGGTGGGCTTGGGGCCTAGGGTTGGAAGCTGTGGGCTGGGGTTGAGGGGCGGGATCTAAGGTCTGAGGGTGAGAATAGGTGATGGTTGCTGGGGTCTGAGGGTGAAGCTGGGGGTTGGCGTAGGCTGGGCGAGTGGAGTCTATTGTGAATTGGAGTGGTAAGGGTGGGTTGGTGGGACAAGGGGTGGGCTGGGGTGGACTGGTGGGGCAGGGGCAGGGTTGGGGTGGACT